AACTTGTGTAATGGGCTTGATATAAATGTAAAATCGTTGTTAAGCAATAAAACCCGGATAACATAATATTGCTGATATCACGATAATTGAAGTCATATCACTCCCAATAATACGAAATAAATGTAAAAATTTGCTAATAGGGAACGTGTTTAATGTAAGCTCTATTGTCAAGTTTTCTGAATGCAGTTTAAAACCTTTATTTGCAATTATTGGCACTCATATTATAAGTATATATAATGTGCTAGTTTTCAAATAAATTAGTAAAATTACTTTTAGTTACAAAAGTCATATTTTACAAAGCACTAAATCTACCCACCACCATTAATTTAGTAGAAAATGTCCGTTTCATACGACTTGAGTGGCAAAGTGGCCCTGGTCACCGGGGCCAACACAGGCGTTGCTGTGTCCACAGCCATACTGTTCGCCAAATCGGGCGCCAGTGTTGTGGTGAGCGGACAGTACGCCGACAATCGACTCACTACTGTAGCCAATGAGTGCCGCAGTACTGGCGCTCAAGTACTGGAAATGGCGGCCGACCCCACCCGGGAAGCAGATCTGCAAAAACTGGTCGACAAAACTATGACGACTTTTGGCCGAATCGACATTTTGGTCAACTGTCCCGTCAGTCACGAGAACGCCTCCATTACTGAGCCATCATTTATGGCTAACTCTGGGTGTAGCCAAGCATATACTGGAATCTGCAAACTTGGCATATACCATGTTATTCTACACTATTTTATGAGTTAATTAGCCTGGTCAAATATGGCGAATGGCCAGACACTTCTCCGTACGGGCAATGGTTTGTCCGCATATTCTACATGTTATTCCCAATTTATTCGCTTTTTAACGCTTTTATGAAGCATTAATCATTTTAACATTGTTAGTCAGCATGAGTTTAGTTGTATTACTAAATATTATTCCCAGTAAAACATTACTAAATGCATATTTTAAGCAATGAATTGGGAATAACATGTAGAATATGCGGACAAACCATTGCCCGTACGGAGAAGTGTCTGGCCATTCGCCATATTTGACCAGGCTAATTAACTCATAAAATAGTGTAGAATAACATGGTATATGCCAAGTTTGCAGATTCCAGTATATGCTTGGCTACACCTAGAGTAAGTATAGGGAGACTATGAACACAAACCTGGAGGCCATGGTATTCATGACCACCATATGTGTGAAGCATTTGGAGAAGACCCGGGGCACCATTATCAATATGTCCAGCATTAGAGGAGCTCATGCTGTATAGTAGTTTCAATATATTCACCTATAATGACCTATAATGACCTATAATGACCTATAATGACCTATATTGACCTATATTGACCTATATTGACCATGCTTCAATTAATATCTATTTTATTGAATCGAATAATATCAATTGTCAAAAATATCAATCTTTTGTAGAAAGCTTAGTTTATGGTTATAATGGCAGCAAATTTGAACGATATTCGGTGAATGCTCCGACACTGCGTTTATAATAAATTACTATTCATTTCAACTCATATTATCTAATCATATTTTATTCTTGATTAATTTATTGCTATTGAATTAACATTTAATTATCCGGTATGAAAATAAATGTAAGATGTAGCATGCTATAAGCATTACTCTGTAAACACCGAAGAAATAGTCTATCGTTTGTGAACGCCCACCACAAGCCGTTTGGGTAGTAACTTATTTAAGAGGGTTGTCGTGTAGATGACGGGGACGTCAGTGTCGGTGACTCTGGAGAAGCGGAACGAATGTGAGATCTTCGCCAACACGAGCTTTGCTGACAATAACGCGAATCGCATTCCAATGCAATTTCGTGGACCCGAACCGAATGGGAGGTAAGTATAGGGTTGGATGTGATCCCGGTTTTGCGGCATAAACCTATCCGGGTTGAAGGTAAATGGATCCGGGTAGTGGTCGGGGTCGTGATGTATGGCATAAACCGGGATTTCGACGGACACTCCCTTCTCGATCTTCACTCCAGTGCTGCCTAACATGACGTCTTGGGCGGCTGTCCTCGGAAGTCGAGATATTGGCGGATAATGGCGAAGAGTTTCGGACAGAAGTGCGTCAATGAATGGTAGTCTCGACAGCACTGAGTAATCCATTTCTCCCTTTTCATTGAACGCCTCTTTCGTCTCCTCATAGAGTCTATCCTGAAGTCCCGGATTGAGTGCCAACTCATAGGCACAGAATGACAGAGCAGTAGACGTGGTCTCATATCCCGCGATGAAGAATAGGAAACATTGCGCTAATATCTCGTCTTCAGTCAACTTCTTCTCCGACACTCCAGTGAAGGCCTCGGCATAAGCTTTCATCTCATCCTTACCCTCATTCACATGATGTGCTTCATTGGCATCACTGGCCTCTCGTATATCTCCTTCAGGTCTCTCGGCATCCATTAATAACTGCAGAAAATCGTTGTGTTTTTCATTATTATCTCTCCTTTTCTTTATAAGACTTCGCGTGAAATCGACAAAAAAGGCGGCGTTAGACCCACGGGGGCCTAAAAGCTTACGGTATATATTACTGGATACGATCAATGTGGGCAGGGTCCTTCGCAACAACCTTTTGTAAATGGAACCAGGACCATTGGTTATATTGGCCCCATTAGTGGTGAACGGGTTGTTAGGATCGGCGTATGTATTGGTTTTGGCGGCGAAGGCACAGCTGGCGATCACATCCATAGTGTAGGCGCCCATCAGTCGCTTCAACTCGACTTCATTCACACCATTCGACACATCCTTATCGAGGCTACCGATGAAGTCTTGGCCGCAATGGTTGATAATGCCATACATTTTCCTTATCTTTCCGGACGTGAAGGTAGGGTTGGCTATCGCACGGATCCGCTTCCAGTCCTCATCCCTGGCTGTTGTCATGGCCAGCATATCAGTCCCGGGAATTACGGGTCGGTTACGAAATATATTGAAATCTTTGACCAGAATTTGTTGGATGAGCTGCGGGTCGGCCACTGTTAGCGTGGGCTTCGATGACATGTATAGTCTAAACAAAATCAAAAGATTTGATACAAATATATTAAATTTTGTTTATATTTTTATGGCATAATTACCCATAAATTTTGCCGTATTTCTTATACCACTGCAACTCATTTAATGGTCCAGGATTTAGGTATAATCCCAATATGTTTCCGAATATAGGTATGGGTTTCGGACCACAAATGTGTCGATCCTTCCAATAGCTGACGGCATTCCTCCACGAACTCAATGAATGAATGAATCATTTCATGAAATATTATGTTTTCACGTAAATTACATTTATTAATTAAATCTAATATACAGTATGTTATGCCTTACATGTAGTAATAGGCGATCACCGCCACAATGAGTCCTATGAAACACCACTCGTATGCCAACAATGACCCCAACACTGACCCCAACACTGACCCCAACAGTAATGTCATAATTCACGGGATGTTTAATAAATCTATTATTTTAAACTTAAAACTTATAAATATTGAATACTTTATGACTTTATAAATATTTCATGACTTTTTATAGACAATTTTTGACAAGTCACATTACATTACAATGTGCTTTTTCAAGTCAACATAATATGTTCAAGATCCTGTTTACAAAAAATTCAGTACAACATCAAATGTAATTGTATTTGTGTCATGTAATGCTAAGAAATTAATTTTCAATACAAATTCTTACCGGTGTTTCAAAATATAATATATTTGTAACCTATTTTAAGTTATATTATAAAACAATTTTTGTATTTAATTTAGATTCAAATGAGTGAAAATGTAATTTGGGAGTTTTCATTTGCATGTTTTCATACCCTACTCATGAATTTATCAATATTTATGTGTACTGTATAATGTGAGCTACGGGTGGGGGTGTGGTGGCCACCCGGCTCCGCCAAACGAGATATTAGCTTGCTACTTTAATGTACTGAAGGTATGCGCGTATATCAGGAACAATTTATTAAATAAATACAATATAATCAAAACGATTAGGTTGCGGGTGCTTACCTGCTTAAATTTATAGAGTTAATAAACCCATTATGTATTCTAAGTTAAAATACGGGATTTCCTAGTATACTATTATTTTACATTAAAATATACTATTTAATCCTAATTTTATTAATTTTAAAATTTAAAATATGTTTTAATTATTTATTCAAATGATGATTAAAAGGAATTATTACAAAGTATTCAGAAAATCATTACCAAATTAATAAAATATTTCAACGTTTGTTACTTTTGGTGAACTTATATTTCTTGGTCAACTTCTCACGAGAAAGCATGACTACGTCTCCGACAAACATAATCGATGTCCGGAGGCACTGTTGACCACTAATTTGCATACCCTTCCCAACATGTATTGGTTCCGCCTTAGCCATGACATTACGGATATCCCTCGCCTTTTTGTGCGGATGAATGGCATCAGGAGTTGGATTGAAAGCAAAGACTAAAATAAAAATTAGAAACAATTCCCAAATATGATATCATATGACACTTATACTCGCGAACACCTTCAGTCTCTCGTACCACAAGTACACAACAATGAGTGTCCTCTTGGGCGCCGTCACCGACACGACTCATAATGAGAGCGATCACACCCTTACTCCTGTTCAAGATCTTTCTGAACTCCTTAGCATTATTCTGTGTGGACTCGGAGTACCTCCCGTTATAGTTCGCATCCTTCAGCTCATCCGGTTTCTCGCCAAAGAATTTCGGATACAATTCAAAGTCGGATTCAATTCAACTTGTCTGAAGCTCTGTTCTGAACAATTCGTTGGCCAACCTCTGGAAGCTGTTGCCCTCGACCGCAATGTCCTCTACCTTCGATCGCGTCAATGAAGTGAAGAAACCGTTCCCTCACTTCCTCTGGAGAGTACTTCCTCCGCAACTTCTTGAGCGTCGACCGAACACCTCTTTGCCGGACACGTGTATTGACTGACCCGATGTTGAGGTTAATGCCGCACATCTTCGCACTCTTCCGAGCCTCGCGTGTGTCCAACAAGCGGTCGAATGGCTCTATTGTATCAAACTCTGGTGGCCAGCCTTTCCAACGCCCACTAAATCCCGGCCAACCATCGCCTTCCTCGTCATACGAGTATAATCCAGTTTAATTTATTTAATTAACTAAATAACACTTGCCGTTTTTGCATTGTTAGTATATTAGAGGTTTTAACAATATTATCATTATACAGTATAAAGTTGGTAAATATTTATATTATTTTCAAATGAATGTGTTTTGCGATATATGTTGTAATGGGAAAAACATTTGAACCTTGAATAATTTTATGAACTTTAAGAGCATTTAAGTAAAACCAATTCAATGACACATTTGATAAAACAGAGCCAAATCGAGGCATAGGTCTAGAGTTAGTCCGATAACTGGTGACCACAACTCACGCCAAACATGCCCAGGTATGTTTTTATACAAGCTTAAGTTTTTAATTAAAACTTAATTTTTATTTAAACTACGGTACTTCACATTACTAGTTAAAAATAATAAAGTTTTTATCTCATCTAAAATGCAACATTAAATGCAAACAAGGCAATTTAAATTTTTAAGTTTTTATTTTTATTGATAAGCCATTTAACACAAAATCATTTAGCCCTGACATTTTTAATACACAATTAAAATAACAATAATGTTATATATAAAAATTAAAAAACAAAATTTAACATACAACAATGACTTCCATGTCATCGCCCTTTCCCACAGCGACTCCAATCCCGTTCCCATCCACTCGTCCCAAACCCTCTCATCAATCAAATCGCTCTCATTTTTAGTCAACGTCTGTCTCCAGCCGCCGGATACGCCTTTCCGGAAATGGGGGTCATCTCTGTTGAGGGAGACATACATAGGGCAAAAACTGGAAGCCTTAATAACCTGATCAAATAGAGTGGACAGTCATTGGGATCTCCATCACAACGACAACAACGACCGGTGTTGTCACCGCTGGCGCATCGGTCGAACAGTCTGTCCACGTATTACGAGCCTAACAATGAGGCCATTTTCGCGATGTTGTCCCTCGGGTTCGCTAACAACTGTTCGTAGGTGTGGGCGATGGCAGTACAGGCGCTGTCACCGACACATTAATTTTATCACTAATATATTAGCTTACCTTAAATTTAACATTTTTAATGTAGAAATAGTTTTTAACAATAAATTTATACATATTTTTAGATAATGCTTCCCATTTAAAAATGTTTGTTTAGAAATAAACATTGTATTTATTCTAATTAATCCAGTACAAGTAATTAAAATTCACAATGATCAGCACATTTATATGTCTTATGTTTAGTTTATGTTTCTTATAAATAGTAATTATTTACTATAAATATATTAATTAATTTATAAATGTAATAATCTCTATATTATTACTTAACTAAATATAAAATAAATGTCTACACAAGTTTGATTCAATTATTTGAATTATTAACTCTAAATTAGTAGCATACTTAAAATTAAATATTTAATCAGTGTAATAATTTGTTTGCAATTTGAATGAATGGGCTCTCAATTAAAACATAACCGAAATAACTGATAATAAGTGTCAAAATCACCCCGGATATGTACTCCGATAACTGCATAATAATGAAGTAAATTAATTACATTTAAAAATATTATTAATTCAGTTAAAATACAAAATCCATTTTAATAAACACTTACCGCTGTCCCCATTGTTATGTAAACTGTTTGTCTGGTTATGTAAAACATATAATTCTGAACAGTCATATGAATGAGATAAACCTGGTAAGTCAGTTTACTAATGGGTTGCCATCCCTTCCACGACAGTATGCCGTTGAGTACCGGTGCCCCACCCGTCCCACACGTGTATATTATATACGCAACACATATAGACCATAGCATGCAATAGATTGAGACATACAATGCACTCAACTTATTATCCGATTGCATGCATTTGTTTACATACAAAAGCATGATCAGTGTTATCATGGTCATTGTTGCCATACATAGTCTCCATACAAGTGAAGAGTATTTCTAAAGATATATTTTTGAAATTGTTTACAACAACATACAAATATTTACATATTTTGTGTGACTCTTATTCGGGTATTTACGATAATAATAAGCCAATAGTATCCCGATACAATAAGGTGCCACATACGTGATCATGTTGGACTGAATTTTGTAATAAAACCTAGAAATAAGCCGACTTTTACTAACAGTATTATCAAATATGTAAGATTTAAAATGAATATTTCTATATTATTATATTACATAAGATTTTGAGTTAATTGGACATTATTTTGGACATATATGACACCAATTGCGACCATGCTCAATATAATTATCAACCAATTTATTCCAATACCGAACATCTGTTTTCTATAAATATATTATAATGTATTTTTAAAATTGAAAATATAATTAAATAATCTTATCCATTATATTGCTTATTTTAGCATAAATAGTAAAATTATATTTAATTGTACTTGATTTGATTAGCATTTAAAAATACTAATAATATTGGTGAAATTAGGAAAAGCTGCCATTCAACTCGTAATGACCATGTTAATGTCGAAATGAGACACTGTGAATATAATTGGCAGATAATTTATTTGTATCATTAACTATGACTTCAAAATAAACTAATAAAATCTCAATTATACAGTTCTCGATAAATTAAACCAGTTCAAATTGAGCATGGTGGCCCACCAATCGTGACGACAACCTCCAGTGAAACCATTAATATACTGGTGCCACTCGGGCCCCGATCCCATCACCTCTAAAAGGATGGAAAAGGCGATGACAGCGCCGACGGATGGCATTAGGCGTACGAAACGGCGAATGATTTTACGGATCGGAAACAAATAATTGACGGCTGAAATTCTACCCGTCCCATGCGAACGGCCTAACTGTCCATTTGCTTGAAGCAAACCACTTAACATAAAAAAGGTGGCCATAGATAGTATGGGAAATGTCTCTATTATAGCATGTAATTTCCAAAAGTTATCCATTACTTGCAAACTATTTTCTGAATAAATATTGTAAAAGTATATTTATAAACTGATAACCTTGATACATGGTACATTTTGAATATAGTTTATATCATGCAATTAATATTTGTACGATATATGTATATTTTATGTTAGTCTCTATTACCGTAATAATTTAGCTTGGTATTATAGATTCTGAAGCGATAGTAGTGAAATGCCATTACATATAACGATAATAGGGTTCGTATTCCCGATAAACACGACAGCCATTGATCCCGATGTGTGTCCACTCGAAACAGATTACAAGTGTTTTTAGTGATTGAAAAGTTTTCCACAAATAACTGAAAATTTTGTACGAATTCTAACGGATTTATAATTATTTTAACAATTATTTTGGTTGAAAGTTTGAAATTAAATGCAAGCAATTGTTACCGTTACTACTTTTAGTTGTAGAATATAATTTACTCGAGATTGATCCAAAAATAGCCAGCGTAGTTATTAAAATGAAACAGCAACTTCTCGGTTTCATTTGCGAAGAATTTGAAAATAATTATAAAATGATTAATAATTTATTTAAACATCAAATTGTTAAATAATTTGTGTTATTATAAGCTAGATTTTTGTTGTCTACTTTTCAGTGAATTTTAAACCAATTCAAAATTATCGATGAGTTGTGTCGAAAGCTTTTCTATTGCTTACGTGTAAAGCTACAAGTGCCAATCTGTGCTTAAAGTGCTAACTAGTGTTGAAACACTTTTACTAATGAATGCATGACTCACAACACTAGTTTTAATTTTAACATTATAAGCAGTAGAGTTTTTATATTACTAATTTAAACTTAAAAACTAGTGTTGTGAGTCATGCATTAATTAGACAATAGTTTTTCAACACTATTTAGCACTTAAAGCACAGATTGGCACTCGTTGGTGTAAAGTATTGAAGTTTATTTTAAAGCTATTTAAGCTAAAGTTTATTTTGAAGCTTTCGACTCACAACTACTGTGACCAGGTTTGATCCGGACTGTCCAGGAATTAACGTATTTGTCCAGGGCAAGGTACGAAAGAAATGTTAACATAAAGGTTTACAAAGTTTTAGGCAAATTAAATAAATTAATGATAAGACCTCAACTTAATTTTGAGTTCATTAAATCTTGGAATGGAATAGAGTTAAATCTTTTGAGATGTTTTTTCAATAACTTATTTTTATATCAGATAAATGAGGGAAAGGGAGTAGAAATCATTGAAAAGACAAATTGCATTCAAAGATCGCGCCCAGGACTTGAACCCGGGGTCCTGATTACGTGTCGGGCACCTAATCGTCAGACCACGCGCTCTATAATACAATTTGTCTCTTATTTAGAGTTAAATCTTGTTTTAGTTTTAATTATTTATATATGAAAAATATAGGATTAATAATCGGATAAATTACTTTAGATATACTGTATATCACATATAACAATTAGTGTAATATTTTTATATTTAGCATGTTTATAATCATTTATTTTATAATTATTAGTTGTCTATTAATAATATGGTATTAATTTAAGTTTATAATTAACTTGTTGATTTATTTAAAGCATTGTTTGGTACATCTGTTCTACAATGTTATTGTATATCAGACTCATTAGTTCTGTAAGGATATGGTCGAAATTCTCCTAAGCTGGCATTTTTGATT